GAGGAGAAAGGGGAGGAGGAAGGGGGGGAGGAGGGCTTCTGGCCTTTCCCCTTTCTCCTCTCTGTCCACCATGGATGTTTGGGTCTGTCAGTGGAAAGCCCTCCGGGTCCCCCATCTTTGGTCTCCAGGAGCAGGTAGGGGAGGGCTAACAGGAAACGGGTTCTCCCTGGTGCTCCCAGGCCTGCGGGGCTCCTGCCTGCTCGTCAGACCTCGCGCTCAGCACTAGTCCGGAGCCTGAGAGACGACAGAGAAAATGGAATGAAAACACGGGGCTGTCTCCTCGTGACCAAACCAGCCCAATGTGAAACCGTGTCCACTTTCGCTCAGTAAAAGCCCACGTGCGCCCGGCCTGGGGAAGCCGGTAAGCACGACGTCTCCTTCCTCTCCTCGCTAGGCTTTCCCCCCCAGTGTCATCACCGTGGTCTTTTACTGCGGGTCGGTGACCCTGTTCTTCGCTGCGATCAAGCTGGTCAGCTTCCGCCTGCACCTCATGTTCGACCAGGGGGAAGTCGTTCTGCAGGGCCCCTCCAAGAGGAAGGACAAGCCGGACAGGGACAGAGCGGCCCGCCACGAGCCCACAACGAGCCGCAAAATACCCAGGTAGCCCGCGTTACTGCGCCAGTTTGCAGCTTAAATGTTGCGATTCTACTAAAATAGTGTTCATCGTTCATGAAAACAGCAGTGTAGGCAGACGCGGACGCAGCTTCTCTGATAGCGAGGCCTGTTCTTAGGCAGCGAGTTGATGTTGATGATCAAGGTGGCTTCCCTGGCTGCTTTTCCTCAGCCCATCAACTAGTATACAATTGGCTGGCCTCAGGCTTAGTCCGAGCTGCAAAAAGTTTTATTTACGCATTTTATCTGACTAGTTAAATGCTTAGAGCGTGGCAGAGTGTTTTAAAGAATAGCTGTGCACTAGCAGGTGGCATAGTGGTGAAGGCTCTGGACTCCCATGTGGCCATCCGTGGTTTGAGTCCTGGACCCTGCGACTTGAAACTCGTGCCGGGCGCATGTGTGTGTGTGCCCAACATCCCTGGAGGAGAGTGGAGGACTGCAGGGTTGCTGCATGGCCATCTTCCCAGGGGGTGATTTCTCACTTCTGTCTGTCTCTGACTCTCCAGCAAGTGCATGCACCCTATAGCAAAAATCTCCCCATGAAAAACAGTAATATTTGTGTTTGTCGACAGGAAAGGACACATTGCACAGGACTGAAATGTGGGAGAAATTCCTGAGTAGCCATCGTCCTCACTATTCTTGTGCTGTTTCACGTAGCTCCTTGAGGAAGCACGTGTTTTAATTTTATAGTAATGTTTACTATCATCTCTTAACGAGGTTTGCGAATGAGGACGGACGAGATGGACCCTGGGAGGAAAGCCCCTGTGGACTAGTGCTGCGGGGTCCTGGCCTGCCTGACCATGTCATGCGCTTGGGTCTCCCATTGGTTTGCAGTCATAGGCAGACTCACAGCGGCAAGAAGGAAGAGGCCAGCCGGAACCTGCCCACGCCTCCCCTCCTCTGCAGCTCCCGAGGACACGGCGTCAGCTCGCACCACTCCTCCGGGCCGTCGGTCAGTGGCTTTCTCCTGTTTCACTCTGTTGTTCGGGCTTGCCCCCAGGGTGGGAGTGTGCAGTGCAGGTGGCCTGGCCCTGTGCTGGGGGTGCAGAGTGCCCAGGGTGTGGAGGTGGCCGATGAGTGTGCTCGGGCCCCGAGGTCGTCCTGGGGTTGGATGCATGTTTAAAGCACACCCTCCAGCCTGCTCCGCTGCCCCTGTCTGCCCACTGCCTGACTGCCGGGCAGGCCAGGTCCTGGCTTTCTCTTCCCTCCCGTCCGCCATTCATCTAAGCCACCACATCACACGCTCTGGCTGGGATCAGTGTCCCCTCTCTGCTGTGTTCTGCACGGAGTCCCATGCGAGTCTGGGAAGCCGGTCAGTCTCCTTGTGTCCCAGACCGGCTCAGCTACAACTGGTCACTGCTGTGCACGTCACGCCTCGTCCCTCCTTGGTCATCAGCAAGGCCCTCCTGCTCGGCCGCACTGTCGAGGGCTGATGAGGGCGCCGTGTGGATCTTGAACCCTCGGTGCTCCCCTCCCTGCACCGCTCTCAGGGGCGGGGTGCGCCTGCCGGGAAGTCATCGGAGCCAGGGAGAGCATTGAGTGTGGTCTTTTCCGTCTCTATAGGAGTTGCCTGCCCAGGAGACCGCAGAGGACCTCAAAGGTAGTAGACCGTCTGTGGCGCCGTGTGCTGTCTCTCATGGCGTCGTCCTCACAGGGCGCAGCGTTCCTGTGCAGTAACTGGAGGGAGCCACACCTGGGCCCGCACAGCTGCATGTCACTCGTCTCTTTAACTCAGTCTTTGTCGCGTGAGAGTTTGTACAGCACGTCTGCGTTCGATGGCGGGGTTTCAGCCTTCATCGCGTTGCCATTTCTAGGCCTCATTTTCTTTCTTTTTCTTTCTTTCTTTCTTTTTTTTTGAGAGTTTTTTTGCTATAGGGTGTGTGTGTTTGCCAGAAGAGAGATAGAAAGCAAGAAATCACCCTCCGGGGGTTGGGGGGATCGCCACACCGCAAACCTTTCTCCTCCATTCTCCTCTTGGGACCTTGGGCATGTACATGTACCTGGTGTGAGTTTAAGCCACCAGGTCCAGGACTCGAACCGTGGTTGACTACATGGGAGTCCAGCGACATAGCCATCTGCTGGTCCCCCTCTAGACCTCATTTTCATAGAGCTGTAATAGCAGGTATATAATGGGATATATTTATCATTGACACAAAATTTTTATCACTACCTACATTGAAAAGTGACAGGAAGTGGACCAGCCCGTGGCATGGTGGTTAAGGCACTGGACTCCCACACAGCCAACTGCAGTTGGAGTCTCAGACCCGGTGGCTTGCTTTTCCTCTGTCTCTGTCTGGTGAGCACAAGTGCCCTACAGCAAAATAATAATAATAAGTAAAGTTGAATAAATAATTCTAGATGAAGAAAGGAGGAAGGAGGTCAGGAGGCCCAGCTGTGGTAGAGTAGGCAGCCGCACAGTGCGGCAGCTTGGCTGGAGTGAGACCAGAGCTGACCTGAGACGTGGAACTGGGTGCCGACGGTCTTGAGTGCTGGGCGACTGGGGAGGGGCGGCGCCATGCTGAGACCCGTGGAGGGTACCTGTCTTCTCTCTCTCAATGAGATAAATAGACTTAAAAAAAGGAGAAAGGAAAATGAGGGCCAGCCGGTGGCATGGTGGTTAAGGTGGCCAGGCCCCACACGGTGGACTGTGTGGTTCAAGTCCTGGACCCTGTGGCTCAAAAAACACAGTGGGCCTGTGAGTGTGTAGGCACAACATGCTGGAGGATCACTGAGAGGAGGGGTGGCAACGTGGCCATCCCCTCAAGAGGGGACTCTCTTAACTTTCCCTCTCTGTCTTTGGTAAGTGCATGTGCCCTATAGAAAATTGGGGGGAAAGAGAGAGAGGAGGAATTATTTGGCATTCTGCGCCTCTGCATCTCATTTTTGTTCGCTTGTTTTAGTTTTGCTAGAGGACACATGCGCCTAATAGACAGAGAAAGCGAGGGAGAGAGAGAGAGCACCCCGGGGGCAGCCACGTTGCAACGATTTCTCTCCATTCTGCCTTTGGGGTTTGGGGCATGCATGCACTCTCTCCTGGGGTGTTTCTGAAGCCCCGGGGTCTGGGGTTCAGCTGGGCAGGTGGAATCCAGCTGCCTCACCCCGCACCCCTGCGGGCTCTTACCCGCATTTATCTGAAGTTCTTGGTTTTGCTTTGGAGAACTTTCTTTTAACCTAAACAAATTTCCATTTTAGTAAGATTTTATTTCATTGTCTACGGTTATCTGCAGAAGGCTTAGGAAGGGTCTTTCAGAGACCCTAGGGGACCTTTTGTTCCTCCCTAGTTCTGTTTTTTCCAGTACTGCTGGAAAGGTGAGTTTTATCTTTAATTTTGAAAACCGTGTAAACATACTATTTTTGTGCCAGTACCATGCTGTTTTGATTCACAGTGGGAGGGTGAGTGTCTGTGTGGGAGGAGGGACTGCGAAGGGTGTGGGAGGGGCTCGGGGAGAAGGCATTTAACTAACACGAGAATGTAAGGTTCTTTGTTGAAAATGATGTATAAGGTAATAGCCTTGATTTGATTATCACACACTGCATGCATGCTTTGAATACTATATTAAATGCCATAAAGATGCACAAAAATAAATGGAAATGATAAATTATAAAATAAAATCAAATCAGGAAAAAATAGTGAGAACTTTAATTTTCTGGAAAATAGCTGAAATTAACATCATGGCCCTGGACTTTTTTGTTTGTTTTGAGATTTTTGCCATTGGATGTGTGTACTTGCTGGAGAGAGACAGAGAGAGACAGAGAGAGAGAGAGAGAGAGAGAGAGGAATTGCCTCCCCAGGAGGTGGCCACACTTCAGTCTCTACTCCCACATTCTCCTCTTAGGACCTTGGGCACATACACACACGTGCCCAGGCTGTTCAAGCCTGTGGGCCTGGGGGTTGAACCATAGAGTTGACCGTGCACCCTAACCTCCACACCACCGCTGACCCTGAGCTTCTAATGGGATTACCTCCTCTGTCATTTAGATACATTCTGTTACGAAGACATAGTTAGCCACAGTCTTGTCCACATTGCTAATTCTGAAGTAAAGTGCACTTCCGGTTTCCATTTTAGTTGCATAAACAGTGTGATAATAGTGTTACTTCATGTCCGTTTTTACACGCACGTGCACACAAATGTACGCTTTTCCTCCGATTAAGCTACATGGTAGTCTAGATTACCGCAGGTGGAGTGTAGCTGTGAACACTCGTTACCTGTGAGGAAGGACGACTGCCGTGAACACCCACCGCCTCTAAGGGGACCGCAGCCGTGAACGCCCGCCACCGCTAAGGGGACCGTGACCGTGAACGCCCACACCTCTAAGGGGACCGTAACCGTGAACGCCCACACCTCTAAGGGGACCGTAACTGCGAACGCTCACTACCTCTAAGGGGACCGTGACCGTGAATGCTCACACCTCTAAGGGGACCGTGACCGTGAACGCCCACACCTCTAAGGGGACCGTGACTGTGAACGCCCACACCTCTAAGGGGACCGTAACCGTTAACGCCTGCTGCCTCTAAAGGGACCGTAACCGTGAACGCCCACACCTCTAAGGGGACCGTAACTGCGAACGCTCACTACCTCTAAGGGGACCGTGACCGTGAATGCTCACACCTCTAAGGGGACCGTGACCGTGAACGCCCACACCTCTAAGGGGACTGTAACTGTGAACGCCCACACCTCTACGGGGACCGTAACTGCGAACGCCCACTACCTCTAAGGGGACTGTACCTGTGAATGCTCACTACCTCTAAGGGGACTGTAGCTGCTAATGCCTACTACCTGTAGGGAGACTGTAGCTGTGAATGCCTGTTACCTGAAGGAGGACTGTAGCTAGGAATACCCGTTACCCGTAGAGGGATTGTAGCTGCAAATGCCTGTTATCTGTGGGTAGACTAGCTGTGAGTGCCCATTACCTTTAGGGATACTGTAGCTGTGAGCGCCTGTTGCTTGTGAACACCTCTTGCCTGACTGTAGCTGTGAATGCCTGTTGCCTGTAGGGGGCTATAGCTGTGAACGCCTGTTGCCTGAAGGGGGGCTGTAGCTGTGAATGCCTGTTGCCTGTTGGGGGGCTGTAGCTGTGAACGCCTGTTGCCTATAGGGGGACTGTAGCTGTGAATGCCTGTTGCCTGTTGGGGGGCTGTAGCTGTGAACGCCTGTTGCCTGTAGGGGGCTGTAGCTGTGAATGCCTGTTGCCTGTAGGGGGCTGTAACTGTGAATGCCTGTTGCCTATAGGGGGCTGTAGCTGTGAACGCCTGTTGCCTGTAGGGGGACTGTAGGTATCAGTGCCCGTTGCCTGTGAACACTCATTGCCTGACTGTAGCTGTGAATGCCTGTTACCTTATAAAGCTATGCATGTTCTGGTTTTTACACTTCACCGTTTATGTCGAAATGGGTATTTTTTCTTTTGTTACTAGGAATTACAGTATAGGTTTTATGCATATCACTTCATTTTGAGTCATAGCAGGAAAATGTAAAACAAGTTCTAATCTAGTGCTTTGGGCAACAGTGCGCAGAAATAGTGTTTTGTTGTTTTCTTAAGTTGAATGTGACAAGACACCATTCCAGCGCACAGCTGTTTCTGTTGTTAAAAGGTGCAGTATCTTACTTTATTGTTTAACTGCTTTATTGAGATATAATTCTGACATTATATAAGGTACTCATTTAAACTATACAATTCCATTTTTTTAGTGTACTCAAACAGTGTGTATCCATTACCACAGTCGATTTTAGAATATTTTCATCACCTTAAACGGAGACCTCACACCACTGTCCAAGTGTTCACTCAGATGTGTGTTTTCATTTCTTTTCGGTCTGTGCCTAGGAGTGGAATTACTCGGTCACTTCATAATTTGATGTTCACCACTTGGAGAGCAGCCAGACCGTTCTAGAGAACGGGTGCACTGTTTTGCAGTCCCACTGTTAACTCCTCGGAGTCCCGGTTTCTCCTCGTGACAGCACTTCCTGCCCATGTGTTCTTTGTAGTGGTCCCCGTGGACGTGAAAGGGATCTTATTATGGTTTGATTTGTATCTATCTAATGACTAATGATGATAATTTTGTCATTATTATTATCTTTAGAAAAATGTTTATTTGAGTCCTTTGATCAGTTTTTGTTGAGTTCCAGGAGCTTTTTTTTTTAATTGCCGGTGGGTGCGTGTGCCCATCAGAGGGGAGAAACGGGCGGACAGACACAGAGAGCACCCCAATGGTGTAATGCTCCAGTGTTTTCCCTCCACTCTCCCTTCCACCTGGCATGTTTTCAAGTCGCGGGGTCAGGATTTGAACTACATTCGGCCATGTGGAATCTGCCTTTCCATGCACAGTACATCACTGTGCGAGGGGCCTGGCCTGAGAGCTCTTTCTATATTTTAGACACAAGTTTTTTTTTCAGATATTTGATTTGTAAATATTTTCCCCCATTCTGTGCATCGTTTTGTCCCTTTCTTAATGGGGTCCTTTGAAGCACGAAAAGTTTTAATTTTCATGATGTTTTGTGATTTTCGATTTTCCTTTCCCTTCCTTTCCTCTCTCTCTCTCTCTCTCTTCCTTCCGTCCTTCCTTACGTCCTTCCTTAAGTGCTAAAGGACACGCGCACACATGAGAGAGAGAATGAAAGCACCCGCGTGTGGGGGTGCTGCCTGGGCATGCCGCGGTCATTTTTCCTCTAGTTCTTCATCCTGTCTGGATCCTGGGCACATGCCCTGTGCCTGGTGTGACATTGCCCTGGCTGGGGCTTGAACTTCAGGCGTCTGTGTGGGATTGGCTCCCCGCACAGCACCTAATCACTGCCTGGGGCCAGCCCTGTTGTTTCCTTTGACGCTTGAGCCTGGCATCGTGCAGAAGTAACCACTGTGAATCGAGGTCTTAAAGGTTGATTCCGATGTTTTCTGCTAAAAAGTTTATAGTTTTAGCCTTTCCATTTAGAACTGTGGTCGACTTTGAATTACTGTGTGTGGTGTGAGATGGGGCGGGGTGTCCACCTTCACCCTTGTGAATGTGTTTATCAGTTGCCTGGCGCCAGTTGGTTAAAAAAAAGACTATTTCTTGGAGCCAGTTGATGACGTAATGGCTATGACGCTGGACTCCCATGTAGTCGACCATGGTTCCAGTCCCGGACCTGGTGGCTTAAGCTCATGCCAGGCGCGTGTGCGTGCGTGCCCAAGATCCCAAGAGGAGAATGGAGGAGAAGGGATTGTGCCATGACCATCCCTCCAGGGGGTGATTTCTCACTCTCTGTCTCTCTGTCTTTCTGGTGAGCACACGTGACCTATAGCAAAAATGAACTCTCAAAAACAGAGACAATTTCTTTCCACTATTAGTTTGTTCTAGCATCCTTGTTGAAATAAATGGGCCATACATGCAAGGGTTCCACTTTTGGACCTGCAGTTCTTGCCCTTTGTCTGTTCTCACCTGTTTCACGTCAGTGCGACGGCTCCTGATCGCTGCAGTTGTGTCACGAGGTATGAGGCAGACTGAGCGTTCCCAGCCAGGGGCTGCTCCCAGGAGATCTGACAGCGTCAGGAGGCACTTTCAGTTGTCACAGTGGAGTGGAGTTGCTATTGGCATCGAGGAGGCGGAGCCCCGGGATGCTCCCTAGTGACCCTGCAGGGTGGAGAGCAGGCCTCACCACTGAGCATCTCTGGGTGCACGGGGCTCGGCCACAGTTGAGATCTGGGTTTAGAGGGAGGTAGTAAAACATCAGGGATTTCCGACGGCAGGTCCAAAGAGCTGTCTGTCTAACCGCACTGTTCTCACCCCAAAGCCCACCCCACTGCAAAAGGTAAAATCCTGCTACAATTTTAAATATAGACGTTTCCTTTTTTAAAGAACTATTCATTTATGGAACCAGCAGATGGCGTAATGGTTACGTTGCTGGATTCCTATGTAGTTGACCGTAATTTGAATCCCAGACCAGGCAGCTTAAAACTCACACTGGGCGTGTGTGTGTGTGTGTGTGTGTGTGTGTGTGTGTGTGTGTATGAGCCCATGTCCAAGATTCCAAGAGGAGAATGGAGGAGAAGGGATTGCAGTGTGGCCATCCCTCCTGGGGATGATTTCTCGCTCTCTCTCTCTCTCTCTGTCTCTCTCTCTCTCTCTGGCAAGCACATGAGTCCTATAGCAAAAATCTCTCTTTCAAAAAAATTATCTAATAAATAAATAAATAAATATTTTAAAATCTGCTATAGGGCATGTGTGCTCACCAGAGAGATGGGGTGGGGGAGTAAGGAAGCAAGCTGCCAGCTCTGGGACTTGAACCACGGTCAGCCATGTGAGAGTCCAGCGCCTTAACTGCCATGCTACCTGCTGGTCCCTAAGTATGGATATTTCAAGAACAATTTTGTAGTGAAAGTGATTTTGGTCGAAGCATCCCATCACACTTGTCAATGCTACTTGTAGATTGTTCTCACTAGGTTGTGCACCGGGATGGTCTTCCTTCACGTCGGGTGTTAATAAAGTTGCCGTTTGTTGATTTCAGGGGTCATTCTGTCAGAAGACCAACCAGGAGCGCCAGTGTCATCCACATCACCGGGTATCAAAATGGAAAACCCACCTTCTTCTCAAATGCGCAGGCCAGAAACGGCACCCAGGACAGCCGTGCCGCTGAAACCCGTGGCCACAGAAACTCTCATCAGTGGCAAAGGGAAGGACAAGAGGGGGGGCGGGCAGCAGCCTTTCCGTCACAGATCCGAGGGCGGCTTGGCGGACAGGGGGCCCTTGCGGAAGCTGCCCCACCTGTCCTTGTCGCAGTATGACTTGCTAGAAACTGACGTCTCCTTCCAGCCCTGGGGGAGTGAGAACTCAGTCCCGATCCCAGAACCCGGCAGCCGTGCCCAGAGCTCTGGGCAGGGTCAGCTGCAGGACACGGTGGCTCAGGACAGCCTGAGCAGCAGCTGCCCTCAGTGTCACACCTTCGTGGCCATGCCTGCGGAGGGGCCGGTGGACACGTGTTGCTGCATGGACCCGCCCTTGAACCCGGAGATGGGCTACTCCGACAGTGAGGTCGCCATCACCCTTGTTGACACTTCCCAGCCCGGGGAACCACTGAGTCTGCATGAACCCATCAGGATCGTGGTCACCATGAGCAGCACCCAGAACTCCATGACAGACAGGGACAGCTCCCTCCTCCTGAAGGTGGTGGGCACCGAGGTGGCCGGAGGACAGCCTGACCCAGAGCCCATGTCCCCGGGGGTGGCCAGTCCCCCAGCTGAGCAGATCCGAATCCCCATGATCACCCTGGAGCTGTCTGAGGATGGAGGACAGGGTGGGACTTGTCCCCAGGGCAGTGGCAGTGAGAAGTCTCCAGAGGGACCGCAGGCGGAGGCCTCCTCCGACCAGTGCCCTGGCTCCGGCTCTGAGAACTGCCGGCCTTCCCCTGGACGCCCCCGGGAAACAGCCTCCCCACCGACCCCTGCTGTGACCTCCGAGTCGGAGGGGGCACAGGAAGGCCAGACCAGCCTTGACCCGTCATCCTGTAAGGCCAGCCACGAGAAGAGGCACGCACGGGTGCTCAGCGTGGACAGCGGGACGGACGTCCTCTTGAGCAAAAGCTCCACTGATGTTATTAACGAGAGGGAGAAAACAATGCCCACCTCCAAGTCCGACCTGGAGGCCAAGGAGGGCCAAATACCAAACGAGTCCAACTTCCTGGAGTTCGTCTCCCTGTTGGAGTCCATCAGCACATCCAAGATGGCGGCTCCCGCTCAGTCCAATGGCTCCGCCAGGCACCACGGGGACCGCGGGCTTCTCCCAGGTGAGCTCTCGCCTCAGTTCTGTCCTGGTGACGACAGGGCAGATGGCAGGACGAGGACTCAGCTTTGCGGTGGTGTGTGCCGAATGTGCCCGCTCTGGGCAGGTGATGAGCACGGTTCCCAAACTGGTCCTTCCAGGGAACGCTGGGCACCTTAGTGGATGGAGTCCCAGCTTTCCCAGAGGCTGAGCATACTTACTCGCAGGGAGAGGCACGGCCGTGGGTGTTACCCCAGTGACCCAGGGACCAGACCTCTACTGACGCCGCTCCTTACAGAGATGCTTTCCCAGAGAGTCGACCGTAAGCCCATTCTGTTCAGCGGATCTACTTTTCCTGCT